TCGTCCGAATGTGTGAGTCCAGGGCGACTTCATTCGGACTCACACGACGAGACCCTACTCTATCCGTTCAAGGTCGGAGTCCAGATTCAAAAATCAGGGACTCGTCACACAAAAATCCAAAGGTCTATGCCAAAACGAAAAGATGTAACAAACAAGGAAAAGGGAAAGGAAATCAAAGGATGTACAAAGGCGAAACAACTATTTTGTTTATTTATATATACGTGCTTGAAAGTCGCACCTTACAAAAGGCCAAAACGGGCCCGAAACAAAAAAAAGAATACAGGAATAGCAGCAACTTTTCACTCGGCGTCATCACCGCCATCCTCCTCGTCATTGTCCTCAGGAAACTCCTCCTCAACATCGGCGTCCTCGCCGGCCTCCGATATCGCAGGGTCGTAGCCGCAATTGACGCGAGCCTCTCATGCCTTCGCCCGGCCTTCCTCATAAGCAGCCTCAGACATATTGCCCGCAAACCCTTGTAGATATCTCGCTAGGCCTCGGTATGAACCAAGAGCTCATGCAAGTGGCGAGGAATGGTGGCAGAGGCGGACTCAACCTGGGCCAACAACTGTGCTCTCTCGGCCTCAAGCGCCACGCCACGGTCCCCAAGGCTCGAGGCCTCCCGGTCGATCTCGCCAATGCGCTCCTCGATACGCGCCTCCCTCAGCATGGTCGTTTCCCTCTCGGATTCCTGCTCAAATTGGAGGACGCGGATAGTGTCCTCTAATGCCGCCACCCTTGCCAAAGAAGACGCTCGAGCATTCTCGACATTCTCCAATTTGGCTACTTTTATCTCCAGCTCGGCTAACTTCCCCATCTATTCCGCACTCAGAATTTTGACTCCTGCAGCACTCTGATCAAGTTCGGCCTGCAATGACGACACATTCGCCTGAAGATGCTCGCATTCAGTAGCAACCCCCTTTCCTAACTCGAGTTCTTCGTCCTTGGTACGAAGAATCTCCTCAAGCTCACTACACCTGCGAATGGACTGCATCAGTTCCTGGTCCCGCTTTTCCAACTCCTCTCCGAGGGATCGGGTGCCAGCACCCGCCCTGAGCTGTTCATGCATCTCACGGCATCTATTGCGATACCGCTGATACTTTTCAAGCATCGTCAAAAAAATCTTGGCCCGAGTTTCGGCCCTGCGAGCACTCTCGATCTTCAGCATATAAGACTGAAAACAAAGAGAAGAAGGTAGTTGGTGAGAGCCAAGATCAAAAAAAATAATAACAAACGAAGAGAAACATACAAGAAGCTCACCCTTAGGCCCATCGCGGCCACTCCACGTGACAGTTCAGCATCGCTGACGTCTTGAAGAGCTCCGCTCTCTGCGGCCGAGCACAAGAGATCAAACTGCGGTACAAAGTCCATCGTATCTTGCAAAAGATTGAGGTCCGACGGAATCTCAAGCATCCGAGAAGGACCCCCCGCTGTTACCACGGTTCGGGTGAAGCCCTCCTCGAACAGCTTAACATCTCAGGTTCAAGGTCGGATTCAAACTCGTAATCGTTGACCATGACGCCTCTCCCCCTCTCTTCAGTCCGAGAAGAAATATGGGTCGGCTAGGATGTCGAAGGGCCGCTCGAGATAGTAGTGGCGGCCTCGGAACTCCGTCTCCCCACCACTTTGGCTTGCTGACCTCTCGTAACCGGCGTAGCCTCTATGACCGGATGGACATCACTACCGATATCAGGCGTCGTCAAGATTAAGTCAACCCCCGATGACGTTTCGATTAGAGGCGCTACCTCCAGGGCCACCTGCCGTCTCTTCGACGAGCCCTCTTCACTACCAGCATGGGATGACTCGCCCGTGGAGCGGACGGTGGGGACCAGAGTGCAGATTGGTTGGCGACTCTCGATGCAGACCACGCTTGCATCTCCGGCTGCAGGTGCAGATTGGTTGGCGACTCTCGATGCAGACCGGATAGCAGCCCTCGACGCAGGACGGATGGGGGGCGCCGGCTAACGGAATGCGAGAGGAGGAGCCCTCGTCCTTCGCGTTCTCCCTGCCAACAAAGAAAAATGGTCATATAACGACAAAATCGAACCTTACGAAAAAAGGAGCAGGTCGACTCACCAGTGAGAGGTTTACGCCCATATTTCTCGTGGAAGGACGTCCACGGACGAATGCCCTTTGTATGGGCAAGGACCGCGCCCACCCACTCACGAATATCGTCAACTGGCGGGGGAGGCAATCTCTCGGCTACAAAGTAAAAACAAGTCAGCAAAATCGCCCAAAGAACAACGATCGGCAATCGCCTTGAGAAAAATCGCAAAACAAACGAAACTTACGAGCGAAGTTCCATGTCTTAGGGAACCCTGCCGAGTCTGCCACAAGGTGCTCTGTCCGCACATAAAAATAGCTTTCCCAGAAGTGACGGTTAGCCTTATCATCCATCTTCACCACTAAACTCTTGGTTCCCCGATGGCGCATATGAAACATCGTGCCCCGAAGAAATTGAGGGGCAAAAATATTAAGCATGTGCCCCAAAGTAATCCCTCGACCGGCGAGCTCCGCATACTTGATGAGCATGAGGAAGATCCTGTACGCGTACGGTGAGAGCTGGGCCGAGCACACCTCGTAGAACGGCAGAAGTCTATCACTAGAGAAGGGAGAGGAAGCGTAGACCCGATAACAAAAGGATACGCATAAAATGTGCAGTACCCCGGGCGATTCAAGTGCACGATGTCCACCCCCGTCGTCGGTATCATGTCAATATGGTTTGGGATTCCCCATTTAGCTTTGAGCGTCGTAATTGCCGCTTCGTCCATGGTAGACGGGACAGGTTCCGGTTCGTCTTCGGCAGGACTGTTAAAGTCGGCCCATAACTTCCCCGGACGGGGCAGTATCTCATCCACAGTCGAAAACCTCTCATCTTCCGCCACCTCTATCCCCTCTCCAAGAAGGGGTGTATCATTTTCCGGCGCCGGAGCTCCGATGAATCTATCGATCTGAGAAGAGGAATCAGTCATTTATCTAGCCTGGTTGAATGAGCAAGAATGATGATGAATAAAAAGGGTGGACACGTCTCCTTCATACAAAAGCACGAGTATGAAGTGTGGAAGAAGGTGGAGGTTTGTAAAATTCTCCAAGCAAGTCGAAAAGCATAACATTCGAATGATGAGTTCCCCCCATATATTAGGAACACAAATGCCCTGAGCGGGAAACCCAAGAGCCGCCAAAAGTTGAAAAGGCACGAGAAGCGATACGTTGCCTAGGGAATGTGCGTTGTAATGACACGTAACAGGCATTCATGGTAGCCCAAACCGACATTATGATCCATCTCCAAACGGACGTAACGGTTCAGTAAAGTTCCTAAAACATCACCGCCACCTTGCCGTAAGGATTTCGTCCTCGCATAACCGTCAGATTTCTCCTAAATTCTTGAATGTACGGGGTTTGCCCATTGAGCTCGCTCAGAAGACGACCCCAACGGACGGAGGGATTAACTGTATGGTCCGAAATCTGACCCTGACTTGGAGGCAATAAAAAAGTTCGACCCCGTCATGGTCGTGCTCACGTGATGGCGACGGGCCTCACGGTCCCTATTAAGGTCGGGCCGTCAGAAAGCTTACATTGCGCGATAAGCGTACGGTTTTGGATAAGTAACAAAGGACTGCCGCGGAAAAAGAGGACTGGTCAAAGACCGTTGGATAAAAGGGAACACTATTGATATATAAAGGGAGGGAGGGAACTGTAAAAAGGGGGCTAGCTAGGACCAACAAAAGCAACACTATGAAGCCAAGGCGAGAAGATTCCTCAGTTATCTTCAGCTTCCTTTTCATCTTTTATATTCCTTCCACTATAATCCAAGTCGGACACAGATGTAAGCTTACCATTCTCACTTAATGTATGATAGCTATCTCAAAAAATATTAAATCAGTTTATTCTCTTTCAATTTTTATACTCAATATGTTGCGATCTAGAGTTAATTACCTTTGGCTAAGATTATCCTCTATTCTATTCATTAATTAGTTTAACTAGAAGTTTAATACTTTTTGGACAAATAGATAAGAACTTCCTTTTATATACGATCAGAACAGGAGTCAAAATTTGAAGTTATGGTTTCTAATTTTGTCATAAAATTCATAGCTCCTCTTTTTTGTTAGATTTGCAATTAAATAATTATATATATTTAATGAGTTTTTGGACCGGACCGTGCCTAATAGGCTAATAGCCCGTTTGACCAAGCTGCAAAAATCAGCTTATTTTGAGAAGTGCTATTTTTCAAAAGTGCTTTTCTCAAAAGTACTTTTGGTGAGAAGCAGTTTGTGTTTGGCTAATTAGTTTGAAAATCACTTCTGAGCAGCAATTAGTGTTTGGCCAAGCTTTAAAAAACTGCTTCTAAGTGTATTTTTCTCAAAAGTGCTTTTCAAAAAAGTGCTTTTGGAGAGAAGCTACTTTTTTCTGCTTCTCCAAAACTGTTTCTGCTTCTCCTCAAAAGCACTTTTTTTCCTTCCAAAAGCTTGGCCAAACACCTCAATTTTTGGCCAAAAGTGTTTTTGGCCAAAAAAAAATACTTTTGGCCAACTTTTGGCCAAAAAAAAATACTTTTGGCCAAAAAGAAGCTTGACCAAACAGGCTATAAGTCTGCTTCTGTATACAACCTCTGTGTATACAGTTGGTTGAAAAAATGCTATCGCACCATAAAATTAAAATCAATATGAATTTTCTAATAAAGCAAAATTCTTGAACTGACCTCCTACCGTAAATCAATACTACTTATTTATATTGGGCGGCACAACATTGAGCGAACACAGGTGTCCGAAATCTTATCCATTCCCGAAAAGTAAATAACAGACGGTACTTACGTGGCTCCCTTTCGGTGGAAAAAGGTATTATATTAAATAAATAAACAACAAAAGAGAAAATGACCTGCATAAGTCCAAATAATCAGTTGTGCCCAAAATGACTTGCGTTGATTTGACAAATCCCCCAGCTTCTACCAACTCCATCCACATATATATATATATATAAAGTAGGGAATAAATAAGGTGATTTGGCACCTCTTTTGGCCAAGAAACCTATTTATCTTTTTTCTCTTTTTTTGCCTATATCCTCATTCTTTGCTTCTTTTTCCCTTTTCTTAATTCTTTGTCTATTATTTTTATGTGGAGATATTGAGGAGTTGTAACAACATTGAAGAGTTATAATTGTGGGGTAAGGAAGAGTCACACCATTTTATTCATAAAACTAATAAACCGTTATATGTTCAATATTTATTTTACAATAATTGTCATATATCTTTCCTATTCATAACCCCCAATGCTTAATGTATAAATTTATGACACATTATTGTGTTTTCTCATATTCCTTTCATTGTTTGATTGATCAGATTGTATGGCATGTTCATAAAGTTATAATCCAACAAACGGGTCTTGAAATTTGAAAACTTGGATAGCTGAGCAGGATCTTGTGTTGGCATTTTACAATGCAGGAACGCAAGAGAAGTTATGCATATAGAGCAGGATAACTATGTAAACATAGTTATGCAGGATAATTATGTCTTCCTCATATTTTTTACCAAAACGCAATGACTATTACGGGTATCATTAAGCTTAATTTGCTTTTCTTTTCTTTTCTTTTTATCTAAATTATCAGTAAGTTTCCTTTAATTTCTATTATTATGAACTATATGTACTGAAAAAGAGATCATTAGCGTAACTTAGAAAATATTTGCCTTTACAAATTTTCTTTTATAAATTGTATGAGAAAATTGTTAACTGTTTATCTTTCTTTTTCTTTTGTAGAATTAAGCTATTGAGTTCTGATATGGAGGAAACATCAAATGGATTGCCGTGCATGCCTGTGTTTTCAGCAATACCGTTTTGGTCTTTGAGTTATGTTATTCTTGTACTACCTTTTTGACGAATAACGTGAAGTTACTAGAGAAACTTGGAAAATACAACTTTTCTTTTAGATTGTCTGAGATAATATATAATCTATGTGATTGTTAATAGATTATCTTTTTCTTCTTTTGTAGAATTAAGCTATTAATTTCTGATACGGAGGAAACATCAAATGGACATGCCTGCATTTTCCACATTGCATTGAGTTGTAGTATTATTTACATTATCAATAATTGCTCTTCCACTTTCCAATATTTTTTTAGTAAAAACAGAAAATATGTACTCTTTTTTATGTCGTTGGACTGAGTTAATTTTGTTTCCCTCCATTCGTGTAGCTTCTGGTTTTTAATTGTGGTTACTTGAATAATAAGGGATGCTGGCATGAGCTCGTGGATAGACAAAATATATAAATTGACGCACTTGCATCTATTTAATTCACTATTATCAAATCTGAAGATAAACACTAGGGGTATGAGAATTACTTTTGTTGCTTTGCAGTTTTATAAATTTGTGACTTTATTGTTAAAGAAAAATAGTGTGGGGCATGGAGGCATAGAAGAAAAAAAGAGGATAAGTACTATTCCGCTAATTTGTTCTCTCTTTTCATCAAAATTCTTTTTTCTTCATCTGAAAGAAAATTTAATAATGAAAAAATATACTTTATTGAAGTTTAAAATATAATAAAAATACTATATTTGATAATTTTATACATATTTAATAATATTTTCTTATATGCAAACACATGAAATATATTTTCTGTTCCACTTAAATTTACAGAATATTTATAAAAAAAATTTCACTGACGTCTTTTATAACAAATTTACTAGTTTTATATAAATGTAGCTGATTAGGAGAAGAAAATAATACAAATGTAAAATAAAATTCACATTTAAATCAAATATATATTCTTTCTGTTTTAATTTATATTAACATATTTTCTTTTTGATTTTTTCAACAAGAATAATTCTTTCCAAATTTGAAAATAATTTAATATAAACTTATTCTACCTTTAATGAACTATTTTTACAACAAACACAAATATTAGATCATGCTTAGACCACATATTTATAAGTCTTCATTTCTTTTTTAATCTCAATGTTCAATCAAATAAGTTTCCATTAATTAAAACGGAAGGAGTACAAAGTATCAAAATGTTTGCCAATTGCCATCATCATACGTCTTCTCATTTTTCTTCTTCTTATGTCATCAAAAATATAATACTAAAATTGAATAATATCAGAAAAAGAAAGGTGCAATTTCTTAGAACAGACCAAAAAAACAAAATGGGACCGAAAAGAGTATTATACTGTAGTCTCTGCCTTAAGACCAAAAATGAAAAGGACGCAGTCAACCTTCGAAATACATCTGCAAAGACGCTTATTGTTGTTTCACAAATAAATTTATCTTTTTTACAGTATCCAATATTACCAAAATGCAAGTAAAGTTAAAAGGGCAGAGTAAACGAGGTAGAAAGTTTTAGGCCTGGTTACGAGGCCCCAATGGAAAGATACATTTCATCAAACAAAATAAATATGTTAACACTTGGTATAACAACTGCCTGGAGGGCTATTCCTACAGCATATCTCAGACTCTACGTTTTTTTATATAGACGAGTACTGGTACAAGTAACTAATATACTTTTTATGAGATTTATTGTGGTGGTAAAATCAGCTTGTTCCAAAGTCCACCATTTCCCACCTAAATGGACGGAAAATGTACAGAACTTCTGGCGAGCCCCTGAATAGAAGAGCAACACAAACACATACGGCCGCCATGGCCACCATCGAGAACATCGCAGGCCTGTACAGTAGGGATCGGCTCCGACTACCATAAGCCAGCTTCTTATGACATAGCCCACAGGGCCGAGAAATGGGTCTTCTCTCGGTCATTGATATCTCTAAGCTGTTGGTTGCAAACTCTTCTTCTTTCTGGTTGCTGTTCTCAATAGATGGAACAATAGGAATATCAACCACTATATGTCCGCTGGTTGCTTTCTTGCTAATCTTCCTCTGCACCAGGTGAATGTAAGAATAATGTCCTCGCAGGCGTGCATAATCTTCTGGTGTGAAACCTGTGCTATCACGAGTATTCTTCCACGCTTCAATTGCCACCTGCATGAGGGGGCAATTTTAGCATGTTTAGTGAATACAGATAACTAAATAGATCATAGCCTCACAAAAAAGGTAATAACTGCATCTGACAGAATGTTGTATAAGAACGAGGTCTGCAACAAGAGGAATTAAATACCTTTCCAGGATCATCTGTCAATGCATCTAGTACCTCTTCAGATCCATCTATGCCAGCTGCAACATGAAGCGGTGTCAAACCTGCAGGCCCTACACAATCAGGTCTAAACAAGAATTCCCCGTCAATCTCAACCAGGGATTGGTATTCAGAACTTAGTTCATCTGCTACTTTCTCTGGAGAGTACGTTAATAGCAATTCCACCAGAGGCCTAGAATTCCTACGCACAGCTCTATGCAGAAGACCCATCTCAGTGAGAGCAAATTTCAAGAAAGAACTGTCTCCTGCGCCCACAGTTCCATCAAGAAGAACGTTCAACAGTTTTTTAACAACTGCACACCATTCATGGTCTACGCAGAAATCAATAAGCCACTTGAACCGCTTCAAAGGATAGAGAACAGGGTCAGGACCAAAATGCTCTAATCTAGCCTTCAAATTATTTCTATGAAGCAGCCAACCCAGTTCATGAATAAAATCCATGGCTTGATTTCTTGCTTCCATATTATTTATCTGTCCCTTGACATAATTAGCTGAAGTCAAATCTAGTTCACTCTCAAGCATACGGATCTCAGAGCAAACATCTTCCTCTGCAACTATGAAAGGGAAGAAGCTATTGCTGAGTCCCTGATCTTCAACCTGGATAACCAAAAGAATCTCAGCATGACTTAGAGTGTACATCGCTTGAACGGGAATGTGTCAGATTCTTTTGAAGTTACAAAATGCATAACATTGTGACTGTTACATACTGTACACATCATATAGGCACCAAATATCTTTTATAGCATAAACACAGTACTGTAGAAATAAAAGCAACTGATATAGCTAAGATGGTGTGCACAAGACTCACATTTCTGCAATATATATAATACCTCATGGTCATATTTTATAATTAAGAAAAAAGTGATAAATGTCTCCACATCTCGTACCATAGTAATTTATGTAATCCATTTGACTTGGTGTTCTCAATTTTATTTTCTATATCTCGCAAGGAGTTAATAAACTTTTATTACTCTGTTGAGCCATTTCTGAACTTTTTAAGAGATTAAAATCATGCCGAGCTTCCTCAAGACAGTAAAAAGGTTCCTTTTCAAAAAATAAAAGAAAAGAGCCGGTACTGACCAAACTTGGCCGGTAACGGCAGTGAAAATGAGAGACAGAATAAACTCCCCTAGTCAATTTTGACGAATCATGTTCAAAGAGAAACAAGAAGATGGAAAAGGTTCACCTCAATAAATCCTCTTCCAGTAACTGCTGGAACTGAACATGTGAAATTTAGGGATTGGAGCTTATCATCATTGTCAATGCCATCAACATGTTGTTCTACCTCGTTATTAGCTTCTGGAACCAGGTAATTACTTTCTAAAGCACAAAGCAACCTGCCAATAAAAAATGAAAGCAGAAAAACAAAGACTTAAGTTACTGCACTTCACTAACATATTTTGCTAGGAATATACCACCAAAATCCTCCTCAGATGATTGATGCATACCTTGTGGATGGCTTTGACAAATTATAGCCTTTGACTAAAAATTGAGCTCTCTCAGATACTGGCACAGCTATTGGTCTGACACTTAAAATTGTACTGTGCTCATTACTCCCAGAGGGCAAGGACATATCCAAAAGAACCTGACCTGCAGCACATAAACAGAACAAAGTAAAATCTCAGTGAAGGACAGTACTGATGCAAAAGTCGCCAGAAAAGATGTAGTGAAGCTGATTTTATATTTTGGGTTTGGGAAGGAATTTTAAATGGAAGAAGACATTAGATTTGAACAGACCATCACAAACAAATGCGATTTGGTTCTGCACGCTAATGTAAATCCATCCTTTTGTCCAGAAACTATCATCACCATGGACATCCAAAAGCCTACTCAGACTGGAGTTCAGATCATAACAAAGCTGTACAAAGCAATTAATTTACACGTCAAACAGTATTCCACAGACAGCCCACTACAAAATACAGGATTTCAATGAACATGCAGCACCTCTTCCCATGCAGACTCGGGAAGCCGCAGATATACTGTTAACACAACACAACCAGGCCTAATGTAGCTCTCAATCTCAGTAGGACTGCGAGATAACCAGTCAAGAATCTGAAATTTCAAACAATTCAAAGAGCATTTCAGAAAAAGAAAAAGACGGAGTTTAAGCCATCCAGAAACATACAACAAAACAAGAACCATGTGTACTCAAGATAATGAAATACCTGAGCTCGTACGACAAATGGAAAATCACTAGGATCTTTCCCGAATAGTTTAAAAACAATCCGATCAGTGCGTGTCTGCATCCAACCAAAATAAATTTTCAGTTCAGGAAAAGAAAGGGATATCAGGTTAACTAGTCTTGGTTGTTGTCATCTTCCTTCTCTTTCATTTTGTAAGATACTCTTTCTTTTATAATAAAATCACAAACTTGAGAACTGAAAAGTACTAGATATAAGTTGGCCGACACAGTGTTTTTAAAGTAAAAAGCACACAGAAGCGACGAGGTCTGAGAAGCTTGAAGTGCAATGGGAGAAGTGAAACACATCCTTAGAAGTGACGTACAAAATTTATGAAAGGTCAAAGTACCACATGTATATGAATGAGTACAATCACAAACAAGTATCAGTTGAAAAAACTAATTTTAGCGTCCGAAATACAATGATGCTGATATTAATCTAACACCTCAAAGCTGAGATTCAAAAAATCGACTGCTTCTTGTTGGTACCACTCAACGCATCACCTGTTTGAATTGCAAGCCTCTCTAAAGAACATGACTTTACCAATGAAGCGATAACACCTTGCTTCGCATCACTTTAAGCAACAAAAGATGACCTTTAACAATACTGAGCGGACTGGCAATTTGATGACATTCAACCTTTATCTAACTACATAATGCATCATAATAAGACCATTGTGCAATACTCAGAAACTGGCATGTTCTTAAGGATCAGAGAAACCATAATTAAATAGTAGTAAGAATTTTGCTGTCGGTTACTGGAACTAGAGCTTCTATAATTGCAGGGCAACCAGCTTGTTCGCGTTGCCTGGCATAAATCTTGGAGAAAAGGACCAGCAAGGGACATTTAACAGTTCGATGATCATTTCGAAACCCAGAGAACGATAAGTATTGCACTCTTAATGAATATTTTATTCCCTCTTTTTCTTTCCCCTGTTTTTACACTGTGTGTGAAAAGATCATCGAATATAGTTAAAGGCGAAAGTAGGAGAGATAAGGGAAATTCAGAGACAACTCAAGACAGAACTTGATAAAGCGGCACAAGTCAACCTCCAATGAAAGGAAGGGGAGAAAAACAGAAATCACCACAATTCAGTTTCAGAAAGTTTATCACAATGTTAGCGGGAAATTTCAAAAGCAAGAATAGACCACCAAAGAAAGAGGTGATCTAAAGACGAAAATAGAAACTCAAGTGTTACCACGTAGACAGATATTGACTTTATAATACTCAGAAACCAAAAGTGTAAATATGGATCTATAGTTAGCAAGGTATCCTCACACAGAAAGAGAGACTTCATTGATAGGTTTTAACAGGCTAAAGAATACGAGAAAACTATTATGATTCAAGCTATTGCCTCTGTCCCCTTGTCAAACTTAGTCCACTGAAAAATGTACCCAATTCTAAGTCTCGGGGTCCAGCGGAGAAAAGGTAACTTGATCCTATCTTTAGAACCATTTCAATAAAAACAAGAGTATAAAGAAGAAAGTAAAGAACGAAAAAAGAAGAAACCAACAAAATGAAATTTGCAGCACAAGTAAAACTGATAAATCATACTTAGATCATTATAGGAGTACCTGAGTGTCACCACTGGAACTGGAAGGTGACTGGGCAGAAGCGGAATCTGAATTACCACTTGTTTGAGGTGGACTTGACTGGTGAGAGTCCTGCTGTAACCAAGATGGGCACTGCACAGGGGATCTATCTATATCTTCTATATTGTCATCCGAATCAACATAAACATCATTCAAGTCGAAGTCAATCAACTTGCTCCTTCCAGTGGTACTTCCCCTGCCTTGTGCATAAGCTTGAGAATTGCTTTGAATTGGGGGAAACAAAATGCCTGGGCTTTGAGAAGAAGCCGTCCGCGCATCTTCAAGCCTGACATCATGTGCATCTAACCTTTTCTGAGGCATCTCAGCTGCCGAATTAGTGAACTGATGTTCTTTGGCTCTAGGAGGTGCCTGTGAACAATTTGAGATCAAGGAAGCTAATTCTGGATTTCGAAGGATTGACCTATTGTTCAGCAAGTTTGAAGATTCTTGCAGAAGTCCAGATAAGCTTTTATCCCCGTTCAACGAACCCTGGCCGGCAATGCTTCTTAGTAGATGGGCCAAAAGGTCCTGATCTTCAGTGTGGTTAGTTCCGTTGGCTGCAATATATGAAAATCATAACCTTGCAGTTAATTCTAAAGCACAACAACAACAACAACTACCACTTTCAATCCCCAAACAAGTTGGGGGTCTGCTTATGAATCCTCACTATAGCACAAGAAACAAAATTCTCAGAACCAAAAAAATAATTTAAAACTATTTGCAAATTCAAAACATAGCAGAAGGAAAACTAGGAATTACTCACAGTGCATATTGGAGAGCATTTTTAGCAGGCTCATCAAGGAATAACCACTAGCCTGTCCATCATTCGATGAATTGTTGTTAGCTACAGATTCTGATTGTGTCTTTCTCCTCCTTTTATTATGCCCAGCTAGGCGTCGACGACAACTTCGTTTTCCTTCATCAAACTCTTGAAGTGCATGAAACCTGTGTATCAAAAGCAGAATCTTTGGAATATAACCACAAAATTATTGAAAAAGCAATATCCCAAGATGAAGCAATCAAACACAGAAAACGATTAATTTTTTTTAAAGGGACTCACATGACTTGCCATCAATCAATTAATCAATCAATCCACTACTCAAAATTCACAGAATATTCTAGGTCAGTTATATTAGTCATTCATATCATTTCCACTTTTTTCGAACCCATTTCGTTCTTTTATTATGCCGGGCTAGGATGAAACCCGTGTTTATCAAAGCAGAATCTTTGGAATAATAAACACAGAATTATTCAGAAATCAATAGTCCAAACACAAACAACCAAACGCAGAAAAAGATCGAATTTTTTAAAGGATTCACAAGACTAGCCGTCAATCAATTAATCATTCAACTACAACTCAATCCCAAATTATATAGATCGGTTATATTAGTCATTTTTATAAAGTAAAAAAGAAATACCTGCTGCACTGCTGGCAGAAACGCTGCATAACATTCCCAACGAGAGCTCTACTAGCTTTGGAGTGCATCTCACAAACTTTATGCCGTCTATGGTAGTCTTTAGCCTTACTTAGATCGGTCCCACAATCATCAACCTGACATACAGCTCTTGTAGTACCAGTAACAGGTGCAGGTGGAGCAGCGGCAGCAGCCAATTTTGTCCTCTTTTCAGCTACAGGCTCAGCTTGTCCACCAAGCTTCAACGAAAGGGTCCCACCGGAATCATTTTCATCAACGACAATCACCCTTCTCCTTTTCTCCAGTTCCCTCCTCTGTTGTTCTATCCCGTGATTTGTTTCATCTGAACAGGAAGATGAACTGTTGGATGAAGCCACCAGATTCCCAGTTTCGACGGGGAAGAACTGCCTGCTTTGGTAATTATTAGAAGGGTTTTGACGAAGAGGAGTCGCAATAAAAAGATCTCCGTCCCATTTCCAATCAGTTACATCCCACTCTAAGCTCCTCTTCCCTAATCCTCGCAGATCCGGTCCTCCCATATGGTAATAACGGTCTCCCACACTCGCTTCCATCTAAGCTCCTTTTTGTGTGTGTGTGCACGCGCGCGTTTGAAGATCTAAATCCGGAGATTTAGGTGATTGATGATCGGACAAGTTTGAATTACAGATCAAAAGTCAAAATTGAGAAGAAGAAAAAAAGAAGAAAGATAGAGAACTAAGAGAACTAATCACTAATCAGCTTCGGTACGGCCCCAAAAGTCGAGTACAAAGAGACGACAACCATGATACCGATTAACAGCAAGCCACATACCCACACCTAATTTCAGCGTTGACTAAGGGAAGGACTCGTGAATTTGAAGAATCTAGTACCGGAATTCAGATAATTTAGCTCAACAAAAAAGAAATAGCTTCTTTCCGGCGGCCAGGAAACGGCGGGAAGAAGGGGACGGCGGCGACCGACGGTGAAGAAAGGACAAAGGAAGGTGGTTAGGAAGTTGTGTGTGTGNAACGACAGTTGAAGTTACATCCTATGGGCCAAAGGCCATCGCCAATGATCGTCGACCCCGCTCGATGACGAAGGATAACGCTTCAACGACAGTTGAAGTTACATCCTATGGGCCAAAGGCCATCGCCAAAGATCATCGACCCCACTCGACGACGACGGGGGGGGGAGCGAAAGGTTCGGATGAATGATAAGATTAAAGAGGAATGTGAATGTGGATGTGAACGGAAGCGTGTTGTATAGGGGGGAGTAGTGGGTGTGCTCAGCTGTACATGTACTGATGCGGTGGTTTTGGTTTTCTCTTTTCCTTTTTCTTTTTCTTTTTCTTTAAGCAGTGTGTGTACTATATTTACTTTCTTATTTGCTCTCTTTCTTTAAGCAGTGTGTGTACTATTTTACTTTCTTAATTTCCTTCTTCTTTCCTCACGTCTCTCGCATCACATTTGTCCATGATAATTACACAAACTACTCCAATAATGTTCAATATTTTTTTACGTTATATTCGTTCGGCAATCTAGGACTTTACACCATTAAGCGCAAAGCATTATAGTATATACTATAACAACAATTTAGGAAGAAATATTCTCTTATGCTCGCCTTAATAATTTTAATAGAAAAAAATACTCCTACAAATATCTTTTTTGTTAATTTTTAATTGATCTCTTCGAAAAATATTATATATTTAAAATAACATTTCTAATGAATTGCAAAACCATTCCTCAATTATGCCACAATATACTCTAATAGCTAGTTGCGGAGTTAGGGAATTCAAAAAATGGAAGTACCGCCATAAATTTTAACTTACTTTTGTCACTTAGCTATACTAAAAGTTTGTCTTATGTTAACTAATTTAAAATTTTATATTTATACACAAAAATTATCTATACTTATTTACGCAATGCAATTTTTCGATGAAGGGTCCAAATGAATCCTCGGGTCAATTGAATTTCTGGTTCTTTACAAATTAGCTTTTAGTTTATGTTATTTTTACAAGAGAATTTTATTTTATACATAAGAAATCTCAAAATAACACACACAAAATCTGAAAAAATCTTTTCTTTTGTTTAAATTGTAAGTGACCATAAGGAAACCATACCCTCACATTAAATATAGCTTTGTAAGAAAAGTTAATGCATATGCATTTCGAATGGAAGTAGTCATCCGGTTATAATCTTTCCCTGATATACCTATATGAATACCGCGAACAGATTTGAATGAAATGATACTTTTAATAAACTGTATAGAGCAGCATGTATGTGTGTAGTAACCACTAACCACAAAAGGTATTTTCAGCATAGTGGTCTCATTTGAAACGTAATTGTATGAGAACTGTATTCTTATAATGTAATTGTATAACTTGAAGTCTTGAAGCAACAGTTAAGTTACATCATATATACCCTTTGAGGTTCGGTCAGTTTCCTAACTATACGTGAACATGGTGTAAGGGGTCGAATTCTGCCCACTATGGTAGCGACGACCCACGACTAAGCAATAGCCGAAGTAGAGGGGACGACCTAAGAATGTCAGAGCAAAAGCGTGTCCTTAGGTCTCGTCGTCTCCTCTAAAGCACGTGACCTATCCCTGTATTATTTTATTATTTTTGAGGGGGTTCTCTTGTTATATAAAGGAGAATCCCAATGTTGTAAAAGGGGGATCTTTTCAATAATAAGCTATCTTTTCTTTCTATTTCTCTCTCTCTCTCTCAACAAGCTTTCTCTTACTCTCTCTCGAATATCCAAGTTGTTGAAACAATCACAAGCATAATACATATTTCTAGGTCTAATTGTATTCGATTACGATTTACCTTTGATTCATTTTGATTGTTTTCGCTTACAAAGTAATTAGTATCTTTTGAGCCAAACAATTTGGCGCCGTCTGTGAGGATTTCGGCAATCGAAATCGTAGTTTGCACCTAGAACATCAAAAATAAACCACCTTCCTTCACACCCTACTGAAATCGAAAAATGGTGGAAAATGACGCAAGATTGAAAGCAATAGCAGGCGTCACAACCAACCTCATAGGCCCTCTCAACGAGGCCGGCAGAGAAAACATCTTGAGCACAACACCTGGTAGCACTCAAGAGGGAGGAATCTCACCCTCCCCATCTGAAGATCTGACGATCTTGCAAGAAAAGGGAGCTTCCACGTCTGTAGTCAAAGAAACACCACCCCCGGTGGTCAAGAAGCTACTGGAAGAATGGATGACGAACACCCTAGGCAGCTTACTCGAAAAATCGCCCCAAAGAAACATTAAGAACCCGTTGACGACAGACATCGCTACCACCAGTGAGCACGATACTGTACGTACAAACAACAAGCACACCAATTACCAGACCAGCGATGGCACACTTGCAGCCATCCTAAAAAAATGGAGGAAATGGAGAATGAAAACAAGGCACTTCGAGATCAGATGAAAGAGCATCAAGAAAGAGTAGACAAAATTCCCGGCGCTCCTAAGTTACTACCAAAGCGCGACGTGGGAAGATTCGTCGAACAACCATACAGCGAAGAAGCTGCACCTCACCCGATCCCAAAAACCTTCAAGATGCCACCCTACTTAAGGATATATGACGGGACGACGGACCCCGAAGACCACCTGATCCACTATGTGACCGCTGTGAAGGGTAACGATCTGTCAAAGGAACAAGTACCATCCGTACTGCTGAAAAAGTTTGGAGAAACGTTGACGGGGGGAGCGCTAACATGGTACTCACAACTGCCAGCCAGAACAATATCAACATTCGAAAAAATGGCGGATAAGTTCGCCACCGCCCATGCAGGAGCAAAGAAAGCAGAGGCCAGGGTCAACGATATCTTCGCCGTCCGACAACCGCAGGTGGGGGACTCAGGGACTTCCTGGCCAGATTTAACAGAGTAAGAATGAGCCTACCAAACGTATCGGAAGGCATGGCGGTCGCAGCTTTCCAAAACGGGCTGAGCAGAGATGGTTCGAGAGCAACCAAAAAGCTACTAAGCCGACTCATGAAGTATCCTCCCACCACATGCGAGAAGATCCACAACGCCTACTGTGCCGAGGTACAAGCAGACGAGGATGACCTCAACGGACCAACCCAGTGGCTCACGACGCTACAGTCAGAAGCAAGGAGGGATCGACGCAGCGAGGGCCGGCGGGAACAATCCTCGCGCTTCAACAAAGAAAGGCAACAGACTTACGTCAGATCCTCGCATCCACCAACGCAACAGAAGCACTGCAGCGACATGTCTCCCCACTCCGTAATGAAAGAGGTATGCCCCATTTATTATCCGCCCATAACTTTTGCGTGTCTCCCTCAGAAATAGTGTACGCATTGGAGAAGCTGGGCACCAAGGTACAATGGCCGCAGAAGATGAAATCAGACCCCGCCATGAGGAAGTCAAATGTCCTGTGCGAGTTCCACCAAGAATGAGGGCACAAAACCGAAGATTGCATAGGGCTACGGCAGGAGGTGGTCAGAATGCTGAACCAAGGATACTTGAGGGAGTTGCTCAGCGATAAGGCAAAGATCAACTTCGCACGAGGGCGGGATCAACCTCAAATGCCGCCAAAGCCGCCTTCGCCAGCATACACCATCAACATGATCGTCGGATGAGGCGACGATTCAGCAATCAACCATGTAAAGTTCACCACTTCGCACAAACTAAAGCGAACAATCGCCCACGAATGGTATGATGACTTCGAAGAAAGTATCACCTTCGATAAGTCAGATGCCGACGGTTTGTCTTTTCCTCATTATGATGCTTTGGTCATAACTTTACGTATCGCTGACACTGATGTTAAGAGAATCATGGTTGATGACGGAAGCGGCGCCTGTATTATCCATCCAAGGGTCCTCGCGCAAATGAGGCTCGAAGATAGGATAATACCGCGTTGCATAACACTGACAGGTTTTAACAATGCAGTGGAACGAACCTCCGGGGAGGTATCATTGCCCATTTTAGCAGGAGGAGTTACGCTGGAAACCATTTTCCACGTTATGAACCAAGAAACAGCCTACAACGCCATCATAGGACGCCCGTGGATACACGCCATGCGAGCAGTCCCCTCAAGCTTCTACCAAGTGATCAAGTTCCCCACCCCTTGGGGAATATTTAGCATTCGGGGCGAGCCGCGCACCGCGCAAGAGTGCTACCGAATCGCTCAAGACTACTCACACACCAAGCAGTTGAAAGGAGCAAGTGCGGAAGCATAGCAATCAGCCGTGTCGGGGACTAAGGTCGACCCGACAACGGAAGCTATCAAAGATCCGGAAGAAGCCTGCAAAGCAACGGTCGAGGATCTCAACCCAGTACAACTGGACAGCACCGACCACTCAAAAAAGGCCTACATCGGACACAGCCTCTGCGACCCAAGTAAGTACCATGAATTTTTAACTAACCACGCAGATCTATTTGCTTTTTCTCATTCAGATATGCCGGGGATACCAAGAGACATTGCCACCCACAAACTGAACGTCGACCCACTATATCCACCCGTGCGGCAAGTTAGAAGAAAGTTCAACGCCGCAATCAACGAGGCCGTCAGCGAAGAGGTAGATAAACTATGACGGTCCATAAGGGAATCAAAATATCCCCAATGGGTCGCCAATGTCGTCATGGTCAAAAAGAAAAACGGGAAGTGGAGGATGTGCGTAGATTTCACAGACCTTAACAAGGCATGCCCGAAGGACTCGTTCCCGTTACCTCACACCGAGGAGACAAGAAAAGACAACTTTCATCACCCACCAGGGAACGTATGCTACAGACAGGGGCGACGTATCAGAGGCTAGTTACCAGAATGTTCAAGGAACAGCTTGGCAAGACCATGGTCAGCAAACAAAGAAGACCACCTCGACCATCTGAAAGAAGCCTTTGAGATACTACGACAGTACGGGATGAAATTACCTCGTATCACAAGAGGTATCGAAGTCAATCCGACCAGATCAAGGCGATAGACGCAATACCTGAACCGCCAGAAGATCCTACACAAGCCGAGTTATCGGGAAGGCTCGCCAGATGGG